ACTGTGTGTAATGTTAACTGGAAGAAAAACTAAGTCCATTTATAAGTAAAATACGGAAAAAATGGAACAAAATTTTAACAAAATTTTCTTCTAGATACTAGGTTTTCATCATAAACAAGCTTCTATCCTAGTTTGGTACAAATCCAGGATAGTTTAAGAAAGTTGTTAAAATTTTAAAGAAAAACTAAGTCCATTTATAAGTAAAATACGGAAAAATGGATTTTTTTTTTTACAAAATTTACTTTTGGATACTATCATTTGATCATAAACAAGCTTCTTTCCAAGTTTGGTAGAAATCCAGGATAGTTTAAGAAAGTTATAGAAAGTTATTAAAATTTCAAAAACTTTAACCACAGAGTGAATATTTGTGGACGCCGCCGCTGCCGACGTAATGCAGGATCGCTATATCTCACTTTTTCAACAAAAATCAAAGTCTGAATGCTTAACTACAAAAAAATCAAAGTCTGAATGCTCAACTTTTGCTCAACTACGAAAAAATCAAAGTCTGAATGCTCAACTTTTGCTCAACTACAAAAAAATCAAAGTCTGAATGCTCAACTTTTGCTCAACTACATGAAAACCAAAGATCAATTGCTCAACTTTTCCTCAACTTAATGGCCAGCTTCAGTTGAGGGCCAGTTGAGCGACATCTATCCAACATACAGTGCTTGGCCAGGTTTGAGTTGAGCTAAATTGCTCAACACCTAGCCCTCAACTATTTTACTTAAAACAGCTAGCCCTCAACTGTCCGCCACATGGCCCTCAACTGGCCCTCAACTTTTTTTTCTGTAGGGGTATTTTCAATTAATTTATACAATTTAGTTATTGTTTCTCTATTGTCATCGGATATTTCATCTTGGTGTATTAAACATGCTATACTCTTTCTGTTAATCCATTCAAAATGACAACATACACATACGTGTACGCTTGAATTCACACCTGTGTACGCCTGAGGCTAAATTGCTGCAAGTTAAAGTTCAAACGAATTCTCCTCTAATCGAGAAATAAACAATGACTTTACAAAATAATTTACACACTCTGTTCACATATATTTTGCATTGAAATGGTTATCAAAGTTATAACGGTAAATAAAACGTAAAAACAAAATTCACTTCAATATCAGTAAAAATGTTCAATAGATATTTTATGAAACAATCTCAACAAAAATTTATGAAATTAATTCGAAAATATCTATATTTAGATAATTTCACATAGGAAGTTTTATTCAATCAATACAAAACGGTACACGCATATTCATTTTCTTTCATTCTTATATTGTGATTATTAACTACGACCAACGATCATCTGTGCGCTTTTAATTATATAAAATTTCGATAAGCAATAAAGCCTTTAACAGATTTTATTTTTCCCCAGGATTCAACAAATCGGGTTAAAACGTCACAACCCACTCACGAAGGTCAACCAAAAAAGTTATAAATTCTTGATTTTCTCCGTTATTAGAAGGAATATAAATTTAAAACTTAGTGAATGTGTTTTTTATGTTAAGATGAACATATTTAGATGATAAGTAAAAAATTGCAGCCTTTCCCTTTAAAGACAAAGGCCAGAACAACCTCTTAACTTCATGCACCAGTGTCTTGGGACAGATACATATAATACTGAAGTGAGGTTAAATGTATTCTACAGTTAGATACAAGTTGTGAATCCAGGATTTTGATAGGGGGCAGAATATTTTGATAGACACTACATATTCCAAATAAACATTTTTATTAATGATTAGATTGATTCCTTTTGATTGAGTTTTCCCCATAAAATTGGAATCAAATGAACATGTCACCTACTAAAGATATTAACCATTATTGTTTTAAGGACATTATTTAGAGTATATTTAATTATTTATTACAATAAAATTACCTTTTTTTAGGTATCATGAGGAATAAATGAAACTCCAAACATGGTTAATGCTGTTCTACGAGATGGATCTACTGAAGCCTGATGTTTGCAAAAGTGACATTAATGAACTAAATTTTCCTATTATAAAGGCAGTGCAAACATATACCAAAGTTTTTATTGTTTATTGTATTTATCATATTCAATCAGATTAGTCTGAAGTGAAGGTTAGAATGATGGTTGTATGGTTGTTCGAAGTTGTATCTAGATACTTCAGTAAAAGGCAGTCAGTTTTATTGATTTAACTGACCCGCGTAAGACTCAAAAGACCTTACCAAACTGAAACAATGCATTGCACCTAGTTTTTTATGTTCATTATTACAGATAAGTTTACACAGGGTAACCTTCACCAGTAGGTTTATTTGATCAATACATTTTAAAAAGAAAATGATGGAAATATTTCCATGGAATTCCATGGAAAAAAAAACATCATGGAAAATATTTCCATGGAATTCCATGTAAAAATATCATGGAAAATATTTCCATAGAATTTCATGGAAAATGGTTTTAGATGGAAATATTATTTTTTCCTTTTTTTCGCTTTTTACTTTCCATGGAATTCCATGGATTTTCCATGAAAGAGAATGGAAAATCTAGGGATGGGTTTTATCATTGGTTTATTAAAGACATTCATGTATATCTATAATTTTATTTATTTGTGATTTAAAACGTTTAAAATTATTATATACCAATATAAAGAACCTTTCATAATTTTATAAATATTATTTAGTTACAAATTAAGTTACTTAGTTTGATGAGGCAATCTACTGTGAGAGTATGGATAGTGCATCTGCCTCAAACTACTCCTGGAAATGTTTACTATTTAACCTGTATTATGGTAATACATTATATAAATAGTATTCTGTCTACTTTTAATTTGAGGTAAAGTATTCAGGTGAATAACACATGTTTCATTCGGCTGTCAGGAATACACTGTTTTAAGTTGTTATCCGCATCATCTTACCTCCAACAGCATTGATCCTGCTACTTGTAAAAGCATTTATTGTTTTAATATGGTGTATATTATTATGTCAGAATTCAAATGAAGCAGACATATTGTCTTAAATTATCTGCATTACTTGATTCCCTAAAGACAAATACATGTAACCTGTGTAACACACACACAAGATACACATAAGAACAAACACAATAAAATGCTCCGCTGGGGCGCAGCTTGATACGACCGCAGAGGTCGAACCCTGAACAGTTGGGGCAAGTATGGACACAACATTCAAGCTTGATACATCACTGACTTTGGATTGTAATTAAATATTTGACACAGCATAGGTTTCTGACACAGAATGAAAGTGGTCTAAGAACTTAAAAAATTTTAATTTACCTATTCAAACCATATCATTATTATTTGCTTTTATATATAAATCAGAAATAACCAATTTAAAATGGAAAATTTTAAAGAAAAAAAAGGAAAAAAAAATCCCCCCCCAAATTTTTTGAACCCCCTTATGATTCATCACCCCCAAACTCAATCCCAGCCTTCCCTTTGTGGTATGGTACCTTGCAGTACAATTTCAGAGAGAACCATACACTTGAACACAAGTTATTGTCTGGAAACTAGAAAAATGCTTGTTTTTTGGTCCCTTTTTGGCCCCAAATTCCTAAACGTTTTGGGCAATTACCCCCAAACTCAAACCCAGCTTTCCCTTTGTGATATGGAACCTTGCAGTACAATTTCATAAAGATCTATACACGTACATACAAGTTATTGTCATGAAACTAGAAAAATGCTTGTTTTTTTGCCCTTTTATGGCCCCTAATTACTATAATTTTGAGGGAATTACCCCCAAAATCAATCCCAGCCTTCCCTTTGTGGTATGGTACCTTGCAGTACAATTTCAGAGAGATCCATACACTTGAACACAAGTTATTGTCTGGAAACTAGAAAAATGCTTATTTTTGGCCCCTTGTTGGCCCCTTATTCCTAAACTTTTTGGGCAATTACCCCCAAACTCAATTCCAGCTTTCCCTTTGTGATATGAAATCTTGTAGTACAATTTCATAAAGATCCATACACTTACACACAAGTTATTGTCATGAAACTAGAAATTTGCTTTTTTTTTGTTCCTTTTTGGCCCCTAATTCCTAAAATTTGGAGGCAATCACACCCAAAATCAATCCCAGCATTCCCTTTGTGATTTGGAACCTTGTGATACAATGTCAGAGAGATCCATAGACTTACACACAAGTTATTGTCATGAAACTAGAAAAATGCTTGTTTTTTGCCCCTTTTTGGCCCCTAATTCCTAAAAGTTGGAGGCAATTACCCCCAAAATCAATCCCAGCATTCCCTCTGTGATACAGAACCTTGTGGTACAATGTCAGAGAGAGCCATACACTTACACACAAGTGATGTCTGGAAGTTACAAAAATGCTTATTTTTGGCCCCTTTTTGGCCCCTAATTCCTTAAGTGTTGGTACCATAACCCCCAAAATCAATCCCCACCTTCCTTTTGTGGTATTGAACCTTATGGTAAAATTTCATTGAGATCCATTCACTTACACTAAAGTTAGAGTGCGAAAACTAATGTGTCTTCGGACTACGACGACGCCAACGTCATACCAATATACGACCACAAAATTTTTTTTGCGGTCGTATAAAAACAGAACACCATAACCACCACTTTATTCCAGAAACTTCAAACTTATGTCAAATGCTTTAGCGAGAAATAATGATTGGAACCTACATAAAGCATTTGAACTTTTTTGAAAAAGACTATATATGAAGCCGAATTATATTATCTCCCTATAATGATAAAATGTTGGGAAAATTAACCAGAGTTATCTTACATTAATCACAAAGAGGGGCTAGCAAACATTTTCTAATCAAAGTTAATTAATGTTAAAACAATTTTCCACTTAAAATGAATGTTACTTTATTCAATTATAAGGATTAGCAAAATCTACTAATTTTATTTGATATAATGAATTTTTATGACAATGGATTATACTATATTATGTATATAGTCAAACCACTTATATACAATTTCTTAACATAAAATAAATTTAACCACATTTTTAATGTTAACTTTGCATTATATTGAAAAACTTGGACACACAGTAAATTAACATACTTTGCTCTGAGTGCAAGAACTCTGTCATTAGGACACACCCACTTGTCCATGCCACTTGTTGTTCCAAACTCTCCCATAAGTTATGATGACATTGATGAAATTCGATCAATCAGTACTAGGCTGGTATCCCCTAAAACATGTATAAGATTTTAAAAGCATTTATGTAATGTTATATTTGAATATATTTTTAATCCTACAAAATTAATCTGAAAGTTGGAAGAAGAGTCTAGAACTAATAAAGAATAATTAAGTCCAAAACACACGTAAACTGTATTGGTAAAAAGCTAAATAAACAAGACACATATCGGTGTCATATGGTATTTTGAACCTCCTAAAAATTGCAGGAAAATGAAATCCCCTGTATTTCCTTTAAATGAATGTCAAATGTATATAAGGTTAAGCATTATTACTATATAAAGTAGTCTGAATAGCTATGACAATTTGAAAATCTGAGGTCTATAGGGGGTGGGGGTCTATTTTCAATGGTAGGGGGTTCAAAAATACCATGGATGAGTAAAACTTTAAAAGCATCTTTTCTTACATGTTTTATTCATATACCAAGTACTTATTAATGCATTATTACTATATAACATAGTTGAAAGGGCTATGCCAATCTGAAAATCTGAGGTCTATAGAGAGGGGTTCAATTTTCCATGGCAGATCCGGTGTCTGGTTGACATATGGTGAACCCCCTGAAAATTGAACCTAGGGTCAATATCCCATATGGTAAATTGAACCCAGGCTCAAAATCCCATATGGAAAATTGAACCCGGTGTCATATGGTATTTTGAACCCCATGGAAAATTGACCCCAGGTCAAAATACTGCTTTGGTAAATTGACCCCCCCCCCGCCATTGTTAAATTGAACCCCCCTGTATGGAAAATTGACCCCCAATGGTAAATTGACCCCCCTTGTTTTTTTCATTCTAGATAATTATTAGAATATTATACATTATTTTAAAGCTTATAGTAGATTGAAAATCAGACATACAAGAAGGGGAAGTCAATTGTCCATGGTAGGTAAAAATAAAAGTGACCCTACCCAAATTTGAACTTGATCTGAGTTTTGTGGTAATAAGTATTGTGTTTAAGTTTCATAAAATTTGGTTGAGGCAAACTTAAGTTAGAGAACGGAAGCGAAAAATTTGGCAATTTTTCCATTTGTAAAGGGGGTATAACTCTAGAATGGTTAAAGTGACACCACCAAAATTCAAATCTGATTTGTATTATGTGGTAATAAGCATTGTGTATAAGTTTCATAGCATTTGGTTGAGGCAACCTAAAGTTAGAGAACAGAAATGAAAAATTCAGCAATTTTTCCATTTGTAAAGGGGCATAACTCTAGAACGGTTAGAGTGACATCACCAAAATTCAAACTTGATCTGTATTTTGTGGCAATAAGCATTGAGTATAAGTTTCATACATAGCATTTGGTTGAGGCAACCCAAAGTTAGAGAACGGAAATGAAAAATTCAGCAATTTGTCCATTTGTAAAGGGGCATAACTCTAGAACGGCTAAAGTGAGGCCACCAAAATTCAAACTTGATCTGTGTTTTGTGGTAATAAGCATTGTGTATAAGTTTCATAACATTTAGTTGAGGCAAGCTAAAGTTAGAGAACGGAAACCTGAACTTTGGGACGTACAGACGGACAAGGGTAAAACTTAATGCCCCCTCCGCTACGGCGGGGGCATAAAAATACCATGGCTTGGTATAAGTGCTCTTAAGTCTTTACCAACATAATTTCATTCAAAATACTTATTGAAGCATTATAACTAGACCATGTAGCTTAAATGCTTAGATTATTTGAAATCTTAACATAAAAAGGGAGTTAAATTTTCCATGGTAAAAAAAGGGGAGGGGGTCAAATTACCATGGCTCAGTAAAATAGTCAAAACATCTTTTTCATCATGTTTTATATATACCATATATTTATTACAGTATTAAAACTCTGAAAAGCAGTTTGAAATAATTTGATTTTTGAAATTGAAGTATTATAACTCTGTAAAGGGGTTACAATAGCTATAATTCTTAAAATGTGAGGTATATAGGAGGGTGTTCAATATACCTTGGCAGGGGGGTCAAAATACCATGACTAAGTAAAATTTCCAAACATTATTATGAATTTTAAAGAAATAAAGAAGATGAAAACATTTTTATTACTTTTTATTAAAAAAAAAGATATTTTGAAAATGGAAATGCTTATTAACATAAGACATTAAAAAAAGGATATTAGAGATTTATTTAATTCCATATCATTTTAAATATTATATTATATAGACTATAGTTAATATGAACTAAATGAAGATTTCAATTGAATAAGTAATTAAACTTTAACAAGAGGGCACACGCTGAAATGTCTCGCCTTCTTTACTAATCATTGAATATTATGTTGATAGTTCTAAATATAAAGCTTTACTACAACTATCACATAAATTTAACATGATCCAAGAAAATGAGGTCAAGGTCATATAAACCAATCAAGAAATACATGTACACCTTACAATCATTCAATACACTAAAAATAGTTGACCTATTGCTTATAGTTTCTAAGATACAGACTTAACCAAGAAAACTAAATATTGACTAATGAACCATGAAAATGAGGTCAAGGTCAGATGAACCATGCCAGGCAGACATGTACAGCTTGCAATCCTTCCATACACCAAATACAGTTGACCTATTGCATACAGTATTAGAAAAGCAGACCAAAACACAAAAACTTAACATTGACCACTGAACCATGAAAATGAGGTCAAGGTCAGAAGACACCTGCCAGCTAGACATGTACACCTTACAATCATTCCATACACCAAATATAGTAGACCTATTGCATACAGTATAAGAAAAAACAGACCAAAGCACAAAAACTTAACTATAACCACTGAACCATGAAAATGAGGTCAAGGTCAGATGAAACCTGCCAGTTGGACATGTACACCTTACAATCATTACATTCACCGAATATGCTAGATCTATTGCTTCTAGTATCTGAGATATATACTTGACCACGAAAACTTAACCTTGTTCACTGATCCATGAAATGAGGTCAAGGTCAAGTGAAAACTGTCTGACAGGCATGAGGACCTTGCAAGGTACACACATACCAAATATAGTTATCCTATTACTCATAATAAGAGAGAAATTAACACTACAAAAAATCTTAACTTTTTTTTCAAGTAGTCACTGAACCATGAAAATGAGGTCAAGGACAATGGACATATGACAGACGGAAACTTAATATCATAAGGCATCTATATACAAAGTATGAAGCATCCAGGTCTTCTATCTTCTGAAATATTAAGCTTTTAAGAAGTTAGCTAGCTAACGCTGCCGCCACCGCCGCCACTGGCGCCAGATCACTATCCCTATGTCGAGCTTTCTGAGACAAAAGTGGCAAGTTCGACAAAAAAATAAAAATATTTTCTAACATGTTTTATTTCTACCAGGTACTTATTAGTGAATTATTACTATATAACATAGCTGGAATAGCTATGACAATTTGAAATATGAGGTCTATAGGGGGGGGGGGGTCAGTTTTCCCTGGTAGAGGGTTTATTATTCTTCATGCATTATTAAGTACTAATTGGTAGGAATAAAACATGTTAAAAAATATTTTTAAACATATTTACTCAGCCATGGAAAATTGAACCCCTTACAATGGAAAATGGAACCCCACTCTATAGACCTCAGATTTTCAAATTGTCATACCTATTGAACTACTATATATGGGAATAATGCTTTAATAAGTATTTGGTAGGATTAAACGTTGTTAGCCCTTTATAGCTTGCTGTTCGGTGTGAGCCAATGCTCCCTGTTGAATGCCATACCTTGACCTATAATGGTTTACTTTTATAAATTGTAACTTGGATGGTGAGTTGTCTTATTGGCACTCATACCACATCTTCCTATATCTAGAAAATATTTTTAAATATTTTTACTCAGCCACGGATAATTTTACCCCCTACCATGGAAAACTAAACCCCCCCTCCTAATAGACCTCAGATTTTCAAATTATCAAAGCTATTCCAGCTATGTTATATAGAAATATCTTTAATAAGTACTTGGTATAAATAAAACATGTAAGAAAATGGAAAACTGAAACCCCTTTTATGACCTCAGATTTTCCAATTGTCATAGTTATTCCAGCTATGTTATATTTTATAGTAATAATGCATTAATAAGTATTTGGTATGAATAAAACATCTTAGATATGCTTATACCATTATGTTATGTTCCAATTTCAGTGTCTTGAATGAATAAACAGGGGGGTCAACTTTCCATGGGGAAATTATAAGTACCAAATATTTATTAAAGACTTATTCATATAAGTAGTTTGAATAGCTATATAAAAACTAGAGGCTCTCTACAAACACATCACCATCACCAAAACACAATTTTGTCATGAATCCATCTGTGTCCTTTGTTTAATATGCACATAGACCAAGGTGAGCGACACAGGCTCTAGATCTTACTTTACTGAACATTCTTGCTCCTTACTATTATCTCTATCTATAATGAACTTGGCCCGGTAGTTACAGTGGAAAATATTTTTAAAGGGGTCAATTGACAATTTTGGTCATGTTGACTTATTTGTAGATCTAACTTTGCTGTACATTATTGCTGTTTACAGTTTATCTCTATCTATAATAATATTCAAGATAATAACCAAAAGCTGCAAAATTTTCTTAAAATTACCAATTCAGGGGCAGCAACCCAACAACGTGTTGCCTGATTGGTCTGAAAATTTCAGGGCAGATAGATCTTGATCTAATGAATAATTTTATCCTCATTAGATTTGCTCTAAATGCTTTGGTTTCAGAGATATGAGCCAAAAGCTGCATTTTACCCTATGTACTATTTTTTAGCCATGTCGGCCATCTAGGTTCGCGGGCGGGGTCATCGGATATATTTTTTAAACTAGATACCCTAATGATGATTGTGGACAAGTTTGGTTAAATTTGTCTTAGTAGTTTCAGAGAAGAAGATTTTTGTAAAAGATTACAAAAATTTACGAAAAATGGTTAAAAATTGATTATAAAGGGCAATAACTCCTAAAGGGGTCAACTGACCATTTTGGTCAAGTTGACTTATTTGTAGATCTTACTTTGCTGAACATTATTGCTGTTTACAGTTTATCTCTATCTATAATAATATTCAAGATAATAACCAAAAACGGCAAAATTTCCTAAAAATTACCAATTCAGGGGCAGCAACACAACAACGGGTTGTCTGATTCATCTGAAAATTTCAGGGCAGATAGATCTTGACCTGATAAACAATATTACCTGTGTCAGATTTGCTCTAAATGCTTTGGTTTCAGAGATATAAGCCAAAATCTACATGTTACCCCTATGTTCTATTTTTAGCCATGTCGACCATCTTGGTTGGTTGGCCTGGTCACCGGACACATTTTTTAAACTAGATACCCCAATGATGATTGTGGTCAAGTTTGGTCAAATTTGGCCCAGTAGTTTCAGAGGAGAAGATTTTTGTAAAAGTTAACGACGACGGACGACGACGGACGCCAAGTGATGAGAAAAGCTCACTTGGCCCTTTGGACCAGGTGAGCTAATAAGGAGATGCGGTATGATTGCCAATGAGACAACTACCACCAAAGTTCAAATAAAGTGGATGTCAGCAATTATAGGCAACAGTACCGCCTTCAACAATGAGAACAAACAGCTGTGCCATGAGCGCATGATACGCCTGTCACTTTTTCAAAGAATAAAGTTCAATAACTTCTCAATGTCTTATCAGAAATTTAAAAAAAAACTAAAGGGAGGTTATTTTAATAGATATAAACCAGTCACCAAAGTTTCATGAAAACTGCTCAAAGCACTTTTAAGATATTGTCCGAAAACTGGAAAAATCACCCCTTTTTTATGAATAAAATCCCAGAACTCAGAAACGTAAAATCTAAAATTTATAAAAACGGAAAGGGAGCTCATGTCAATAGATATAAACTATTCACCAAAGTTTCATGAAAACTGCTCCAAGCATTTTTGAGTTAATGTCCGAAAACTGGAAAAATCACCCCTTTTTTATGAATAAAATCCCAGAACTCAGAAACGTAAAATCTAAAATTTATAAAAATCGAAAGGGAGCTCATGTCAATAGATATAAACAATTCACCAAAGTTTCATGCCAATTGGTTAAAGCGTTTTTGAGTTATTGTCCGACATGCTGACGATGGACGGACAGACAGACAGACAGACAGACAGACAGACAGACAGACGGACGGACGGACGGACGGACAGACAGACAAACAACGTTATACCAAAATATGTCCCGTAAACGAGCATATAAAAATCCATACTGTATAGTCAGCTATTAAAGGCCCTGACACGAAAAATATGAAACAATTCAATTGAGAAAACTAACGGCTTATTTATAACAAAACAATTTATAAAAAACAAATATGACAGACATGAACCAACGACAACCACTAAAACATGCTCCTGACATGGGACAGTCACATAAAGAATGTGGCGGGGTTAAACATGTTTGTGAGCACTCAACTCTCCCCCTAACCTGGGACAGTGGTGTAACAGCACAACATAAGAACAAACTATAATAAACTGTTAACACAGAGATATGTCTCACCTTTTTGTTATTTTGATAATGCAAATGTTGAAATTAAAATAGCAATAATTTAACATGTAAGTTATGCAAATATTCAAAGTCAATGCACCATGACTGAAAGTACATGGCTAGACAATCTCCATGGAAATGAGATGTGCCAATGCTAATACAACTGCATACCAAATACCATTGACTTATCATAAGTCATTCCCTTTAAACAAACCTAAACACAAACATTAACTTGTAAACTATGTAAAAGTTTGAACCATGATAAGGGGGTGGGGCTATTTAATCTCCATGGAAATGAGACTTGCAAATGCCAATACATTTGCATACCAACTATCAATGACTTACATTAGTTGATCATCTTAAACTGATCTAATCACAAACTAATACATGTAAAACTAAGCAAAAGTTTCAAAGTCAATAGACCATGACTGAGGGGTAAGGACCAAATATTCTCCTTGGAAATGAGATGGGCTAATGCTTATATAACTGCATACCAATTATCATTGACCTACCACTAATGCTGCCCCTTAAACTGACCTAATCACAAACTAATACATGTAAACTAAGCAAAAGTTTAAAGTCAATAGACCATGACTGAGGGGGCTGGGCCAAATAATCTCCATGGATATGAAATATGCCAATGCTTATACAACTGCACACCAAATATCATTGACCAATAACTAGTGGTTCCCCATGAACTGACCTAATCACAAACTAATACATGTAAACTAAGCAAAAGTTTCAAAGTCAATAGACCATGACTGAGGGGGTGGGGCCAAATAATCTCCATGGAAATGAGATGTGCCAATGCTAATACAACTGCATACCAAATATCAATGACCTACCACTAGTGGTTCACCATAAACTAGACCTAATCACAAACTAATACATTGTTGACGCCACTGCCCCCGGCGTCGGAAACAGCATACCTATGTCTTGCTTTTTGACTCCGTCAAGGCAAGACAAAAATTAGGCTTAACTCATCAGATTGATACAAAGCAGAAATACATCAAACTAAAACACAGACTGGACAGTAGCATCATAGTCACTTTAGGTGACCATCCAGTAACAACAGTTATGTGAGTTCCAGAACAAAGAACCTTCAAGTCAAATCGGAGAAATGAAGTCAGCTTAAAAAAACTGTGACCAAACAGTTCGCTCTTCAGTATCCAACTGGCACAGCAACTCAGAATATTTATTGGCTGTCAAGGATGTGGTCTCAACTCGAACAGACTTAATTATACAACTAGTACAGTTAAATACAAGCAGTCAGAGTCAGTTCAGACCTTAACAACAGTTAACAAATGCGGGAAAGGAGTTGGAGTAGAACCTACAGAGTAGTGTCTGTATCCAGTCTTCACTATTCAATCATCTGAATTCATTGATGCTTCAACCAGACAACACAGGACAGACTACAAGAACTTCAACCCAAGATCCAGTTTTAACTCAGTGACATTTGGACAACTTTGGACAGTTCAATTCTAACCGTAATACACAGAACATTTTCAATAAGTGATTTAAAAATTCTCAACCTTAAAATTGAATAATTCTAATTTGGACAAGTAACCAGCTGTGCATTCTTCAAAGTGTTTAGACTATTCTTCAGGACAGTGACATTAACTTTCAATATATAGTGCATTATAGTTTTATTTATTTGGAGTTATCTTTGGCATATTTAGTCATTTATTAAATTGTTAAACGTTTTAGAGTATTAACTTTGCCACTTGTCTGTCATAAGTCTATTAATAGACTGACCCTCCAGTCCCTTGTGTCAAGCATGCAGAGTTAGTCCCCCTATCCAAAACGCATGCCCCAGTGGCCCTCTATGACACATACCAATTACTTATTAACATGATTAAAGCATTATTGCTTCTGAATATTACGGATTCCCTTATAAAATTGACTTCAGCTATTATAAGGACAGTATACCATTTTTTTTATTAAGCACACAGAAATAATGCAAAGAGATCTCAGACTGAAGAATGTTTTTTAGAAAAATATATGAAATTTGTACCAAAATTTTCTATTTTTTCTGTAAGCCAGATTGTTTGAAGATTTTAAAATTTTCAATAGATCAAATGCCATAAAAGTTTGTGATTTTCAAGGTTTATAAACAATAATTGTTTTAGCAATTTTTTGGCACGAATTAAAACGATATTTTTTTTAATTGCAAAGTTGAAAATGTGTTATCTTAGAGTGCCAGAATTTTCGATTTGTTCAATAATTTTAAACCATTAATTTACATTCTGGCTATAAATAGTACCATGACGTTTCAGATTTGATTTAAGATTTGTTTCTCACTACACATTTTAACAGTTATGGATATTCCTATTGAGAACATGTGCAAAAACACACAATAATATATGCCTATACTAGTGTCTTAGACTGTTTTTTTTTTTTTATATCCCAAACTGGGCATATTCAATGTATACCCATAAAATGCAACAGTGAATTTCAACAATACTTTATCGGATGATACATGGAATGCTTCTCTTTCAATTATGTAAATATAAGATAAACAAGAAATGATTGTAACAGGATGCCGTTACGAAGTCTCCCAAACAAAGCTCCCATAATTCGTAATTCCCAGGGTCGCCCGACATTGGGCAAAGTCCAGTGAAAATTGGTTTGGTCCAGTAAAGTTATATGCATTAGTGATGCCTGGGGACTAACCCTGTATATCATTCAAATCATCTTGGCATGATTAACCAGAATATATAATGTTTAGGGGTGGGGATCTCGACCATTTACAAGATACTAGAACATTTGGGGTGGGGGGAACCCCTGGGGACTGACCCTATACGTCATTCAAATGTTTGAGACATGATGAACAGGAATATACATAGTTTAGGGGTGGGGATCTCGACCATTTACAAGATATTAGAACATTGGGGTGGGGGGAACCCCTGGGGACTGACCGTATACGTCATTCAAATGTTCGAGACATGACGAACAGGAATATATATGGTTTAGGGGTGGGGATCTCGACCATTTACAAGATATTAGAACTTTCTCAAATGGCAGGGGGTCGGGATGACCCCTGGGGACTAACCCTGTATATCATTCAAACCATCTTAGCATGACAAACCAGAATATATATGGTTTAGGGTGGGGATCTTGACCACTTACAAGATATTAGAACTTTCTTAAAAGGCATGGGGTGGGGTGACCCCTGG